TAGGTACAATTTAATGTATTTATATGTAATGAGTATCTTGGTAATTTGTATGTATTTACCAACAAACTTTTATTGTTGGTATTTTACCGACATAAAATTTGTAGGAAATCTTCCATGTGTGTTAGTGTAGGAAATGTCTAGGTAATTTGTTGGTATTTAATTACAAAATTTTTTTTGTAGGTAAATACCAACAAATTACCTACATATTATTATGTAGTACTATTCTTGTTGCTAATTTGTTGTAGTATGATTTTATTATAAATTTGTCATGTTTTGTAGGTATTATCTTGGTAAAATCTTGCTATTTACCTAGAAAACAATTGTCTAGGTAAATTTTGTAGTTATTTTAACATTTTCTTGTAGTGTCGGCCTCCAGGTTAGTTGTGAAAGCAGCAACTAAGTACATTATTTGTTGAAGAAGGGCATCAATAATGTTGCATCAAGTGGTGTTAGGTAGGTAGGTTTTCTGGGAATATTTAAACAAGGATGAAAAGGTCATAAAAAATAAAAAGTAAGTGACTATTTTGAGAAATGTGAAAACTTTTGAGTCAGAACTTTTAGAAATACGAAAATATTTGTAGAGACGGGTCATTTCGGGTCAAAATATTGAAAGATCTGAGGGTCTTTGCAGTTAATTGTCATTTTCCAGTGAGAAACATACAGAGGGTTGAGGGACTTTTGCAGTGAGAGGTCATTTTCAAGGCAGAACTTTAAAAAATATGAGAATCTTTACATAGCGTACTCATTTCAGTCACAACAGTGAGAGATGTGAGGACTTTGCAGTTAGTTGTCATTTTTGGGCCAGAAACATAGAGAGGGTGAGAAATATTCACTATTAAAGAAGATATGGTATTGTAATGCCTACATCCCAATATTTTTATTCTTATACACTAAACTTTTATCACATCTAACTTCTTGTAAGAATATCGACCTGTTCATCTTCGTATTACTACGATAAAGATATTCTTTTATGTCGAGTTTATATGGAAATTTTTCAAAACTCACTTATTAGGGTGTACCAATCATCTGATCGATTTTGGTGTCGTATAGAAGAAGCTTTCAATGGAGGAAAATTTGAGCATTGAGAAGTTCGTACAAAGAGATGTATGCAAGCAGTAATTCAAACAATTGAGAAAGTAAGCGGGAGACTCCACGCATGCATAAAAGCTATAGAAGCAAATGAAGATACGGAGAGTTTTAAAATCATATTATATTTTAAGTTTTTTAATTTATTATTTACATTAGCAATGGTTAATTATTTTCATAAAACATGTAGATGCTCAAATTAAAATAATATTTAAAGTTGATTTAAAATTTAAGTTTAGTTAAAATTAGGTGAGTGAATGAAAAATAAAAAAAAATTATTGGAAGTGATAGTTAGTTAAAATTATGTGAGTGAATTAAAGTTGATATGATGTGTAAGAATGATTGGTTGATATTATTTAATTGATAGTATATTTATATTGATAATATTGAGGATAGTTGGACTGAGTTAAATTTGAGTTTTAATTGGTTTTTTACTAATCTAGTTTATATCCAATCACACCAGTTTTGCATTTGAACGCAAATATGTGTCCAATCGAGTAGAGACAGAGAGAGAGAGAGAGAGAGAGAGAGAATATCACTTTTATCTCATTTTGCGATTGTTTATGGGGGTCGATTGGAGCAACCCGTGCTGCAATTTTGCGTTTTGTAGTAAGTGGAGGTCTTAGTAGGAAATTTATGTAATATTTAGCAATTAGTTGCTAAAAATATTTTGAACACACAAGAACAACATAGGCTATGTTTGGTAAAACTAGCTGATAAGCTAGCTTATAACTTATTTGTATTTTTTAGCTCATAGCTTATAGCTTATGACTTATAGCTAAAAGCTAGCTTATATTATAAAAGTATTTGGTAAAATTAGCTGATAAGCTAACTGAAATAAAAAAATTCAACTAGCTTATTTGAAAAGCTACCTAAAGTAGCTTATGAGATAAAAAAAAGCTCGTCTTACCAAACGAGACTTATTTAAATACAGAGAACTTATAAACTAACCAAATAAGATATAATTTTATTGTTATTTTATTTTATTTTTTGTTATCTGGACATTCAAATATTATCATTATTTTTAATTCATGTTTCAATTTTCAATACATGTGAGTCTGTGACACAACTCATTATATAATGTATATTTATATTTGATAATTTAAAAACAATAACGCAAAAAATTTAATAAACCATATAAACATCTATATATATATAATAAGAATTATCATTTACTAAAAATAGTAGCAAAAAATTTAAGAAACATTTAATGCATATCATTTTTGGAAACTTTTTAAATATCAGCATTACATGCCTCCATATACATGTTTTCAAATAAGATATGATCAAAAACATTACTTAAATAAATTTATTAATATCTGCAATATTTTTATTGATATTTATTATAATAAATTACAAGATTGATTTTTCGTGATTCATGTTGATAATAATTTGGTCAAGATAAATATTGTTTTATTAATATTTGTAATAGTTTCATTGATATTCATTATAATAAATTACAAGATTGATTTTCATGATCCATGTTGATAATATTTTGGTCAAGATAAATATTACACCATATTTTAAGTTCTAACCATAATATTAATTTTTTTTTCACAAATATTCACTTTTTATCCAAAAATATTTATGAAAAATCAAACTAGTTAGGTAGAATTTTTTTTCCAAGTAATCATATAAAATCAAGTTGGTGAATTAATCTTTGCCAATATATTTTTTTCTTAAGCTTTATTTTGTTAAATATAAAAAATAAATTATTCTTAAATTAATATAATTTACCATTTAAGAGATAATGATCAGATACATTAAATAGTTTTACTAACGGTAAAAAAATAAAGTCAAAATATATTCTTAGGATTTATTTGTATATTATCGGCACCCATGATTATTTTTTTATTTTTTTATTTTGATTTATTTCTATAATTAAATTCTTGTAAAATATATTTTCATTGCAGAATATGCTAAATAAACTATAAATCCTTATAATGTGAATTAGAAAAATCTTGATCATAAAAGGGATTGAGTTTTTGGCATTTTCTAAATCAAAGTTGTTTAATTACTATACAAAATTAAATTAAAAAAAACATGTTTATATTTTGTAAAATATTTATACACTGTTTAATTTTAAATTTATTTAAATATTTTAAATTGATTACATAAATAAATAATACTAACGTGCATTAAATATTTTTCATTACATAAAATAAAAAGAAAAAAAAAACGTACAGCTTCTATAATTTTGTAAATAATAATGATATTATATGACAACAAAATTTGTAATAAAATAATAATTAAGTATTATATAGTGAACAAGAATAAGTAAAATTATTATTCTCTCTTCTATCAAGGAATAAATATATATACTAAAATCAAATATATATTAGTATAAATATGTTAGTGAGATAATATATTAATTATTTTTCAAGCTAGCCCTAACATGCTCACATTTAATGTTTTGTAATAAAAAACAACACTGATTAAAAGATGTGCAAAATAATTGTAACTTTATTGTTTATTACACTTAACGCTGATTAAAAGAGGTGGAAAATAGATGATAACCCTATTGCTTTATATACTTAAACGGACAAAACCTTTGAAAATAACCATTTAATATTTTTATCCCGTGCATCGTACGGGGTATGTACTAGTAAATATAAAAGACTAGGGCACTAAAAGTAGTTCAAATGAATTTTCTGCCTTGAAAAAAGAAACTCACAACAATAAAATGACCAAGTAAACGAAACCCCCCACAAATCCCACCCTCCAAAGCACCCCCAAATCCGGCGACAACGACTTGGTCAACTTGACCGCCTTCTTCCCCACCTTCCCACCGGAGCCATCCACCTCCACGTTGCCGCTAACCACCACTCCCTCCCTCTTTGTCTTCCAAAACAAAATCTTATACCTCACTCTCGTTGCCAAACCCACCTTAAACCCCACCCTTGACCCATTCGCCGCCACCCACGGCACCCCTTCCGCCACCACGGCTTGATTTTTCCGGCGAGCCTTCTTCCCGTGGCCCTGATAGAATCCGGGCACCGACCCATTTGCAATCTGGAGCTTCGACCCGTTTTCGGCCGTGTAGTAGAAAGTGAGGTTGATGGTGTCGTAATGGACTCCCTTGTCGTTGTTGTTGTTGTCGAGCTTGAGGTCGAAGAAAATGGAGTGGTTTGTAGTGGAGTTTAGGGAAGTGTTGAGGGCAGGGACGTAAAAGCGTTGGACAAAGCAAGTGGGGCGATGGGTGCGGAGGCTGAGCCACATGAAGAGGGCAGTGAGGCCGGAAGTGATGATGAAGCTGCAGCAGCAGCGGGCCACGCCACCGCTTTCCGACATTGATTGTGTTGAAGAGAGAGTCGTTATCCACCCCACCACTTACATCTCTGAAAATTTTTTGAAGACAGTTGTAGGTGAGCCAAAAGGACAGAGTGGGTAGTGGGTGGGGGTAAATGAATGCAGTATTTTATCACACAAAAAAACAAAAAAACAAAAAACATTTTTAAAATTATAATAGGGAGAACTCGTTTTGCGAAATAAGTTTTACAAAAGAACATGACCAATAATTTTTTTTTATAAAAGCATCAGACCACAAGTTTTCATGGGATGACAATCAAACTATTCAAATACGAAAATCAAGTTCATGTACACTATGACATATCGCACACATCCTAAATCGGACTTTAGTGGTCGCTTACGATTACGAAACGGAGTACACAGTTCCATCAAAGAAACTGGTAGTGACTGATGTGCATACCACTTAGTATCTGTTTCATCTCAAATAAAGCATCACCGAATGTTTGATTGGAAACCCATGTCCACTCACCAAAAGGTGACACACCAAGCTAGGACAAAGGCTTCTCCTTTCAACCTTATTCCTCCCAAGTGGTTCGACGTCTCTTTGGCTAGGGCCGAAACACAGGTGAAGCCACATTCCGGAATATACCATTCTACGACCAATTCTATTCGATGGCTCCAATCAGACCAGAATATGGGAATAGACCATACACATTCAGATAATAACCATTGCCTGTTTGCTCAATTATTAACCAAGATAAGCGAGCCTATGCACGTCGAAAACGTATTCAAACTTATTCTCATACCAGTCACATGTTGAACATAAAGAATCAAATAATGAGGCCAAGATAACGTATTCATGAATCATACAAATTCAAAGATAAAATAATGTCAATTGTAGATTCAAGATACACGCTCATAAACAATTCATTTTTTCTCGTTAAACAAGTTTTTATCCACGTAAAATGCATGTCATGCAGCAATTCAAAATTCCTAGTAATATAGGTAATTTCGAAGTTTTGACCTACCTAAAAAGAGTGTGACATGAAAACCTTAATGAAGGAGTCAAATATAGGCTTTGTTCAACATATCAATGTACTTAGAGGACCCAAATGTCAGAAATGAAAGGCACGACACTGAACGCAGAACAGACAAGCCATATGATAGTTTTGTGCAGTGTTCGTATTTTCACCACAATTTATACCATAAATAGATATCATGTTGAATCATGAGGAAATGAAAATATATGATACTGGACTAAAACTCTAATAAAAACTCTGAGAATTAACGAGTACATTACAATGGTGAAAACATTGCAAAACCGAAGTGAACTTGACAGCAAACAGACTGGTGCCACGTTCTTATTTTAAACCTAACTTCAAATAGAAAACACATACTGAAGTTATTCCAGCACCAAAACAATCTCAGACACACATCTAAAACTTTTATTCAGACATCCAACACAGACGAGGGCTTCAAAGGGTGGAAACCACATCCAAACAGAAGACACGGAACTCATGCGTAGTCACCGTATAAACGAACATAACTTTTGCTAGAGAAAATATTTTGGACTGATTTTTTGAAATTATGGAAAGACCAGAAATAGAACTACAACTCTTGTGAAAACTTCGAACACTTACAAGCAAGCTACAAGGACGAAAAATGGTTCAAAACTGAGCAGCAGCCACACAGACAGAACAACAAGCATTAGTGTTTGTATTCTTAACATAACTATTGATAGAAACTAGGTACCAAAGTAATTCTTGTTCCTACAAAATTCCACGAGACACCTCTATGACTTCCACGAAGATATTGGAAGCAAAACAAGATGGCAGACATATAAAAAAGCCTCATAAACCAGCAAGCAGAGAATAGTCATATTTGATAATGAGTAGCTTTGCACGTATATGAGGCTTAACTTTTCCTATAAAATAGATAATTGGGAAATTCTTGTGACTACACACAGAGAAGAGACTAAGCTACAAGTTTTCTTAAGAAAGACACCAAGCATAAACGGCTACATGACAAGTGATAAAACAACCTAAGAACATAAGGATAGGAGGCAGTAAGTCTATTAACAGCAACTTCGAAAAAGTACAATTAAGTCCCAAAAATAATTAATTTCCAGAAGAACACCCAAGAACTTTCTTACTCTTCTATTTTCACCCCAAAATTCAGAAATCCACACATTGAGCACAACAAATGACACGTACAGCACCAGACTGTTCAACCGAAATCAAAATACAAAATTACCTATATGACCCTAGAGACAAGAGATTTTACACGGTAAGCTTCATAGATTTCAGTAGCCCGAAGGTCGGGTACAGGGTCGGAGGGCTGTGGCCGTTCGTAGCCCCGTTCGTATCCTTCCAACACCCGTTTGTAAAATTGTTAAGGTATTTGGAATCTACGTATGAAGATGAACATGTTGAAGTACAAATAATGGAGTTTACCTGCAAGAGGACAGCAGTCATGGTTGTCGATGGCGCACGAGAAAAGAAAAAGAAAGGAAAAAGAAGAAAGAGAAAGTGAAGATAATGAACAACAGTGGTTGGAGAAATGACACTCCTTTCTCTCTCATCATTATCTCTACGCGCGGACTTTACTCTATATAGAATTAAACATTCACTTCTTATCTCTACATTTTATTTTATATTAAATATATTATTTTTTATTAATTTTTTATTTCAAATAAATTGGTATATATATATATTTCAAATAAATTAATATATATATGTCTGCAATACCATTTTAATATTAAAAAAATACAAAATAAAATTATAATACATCAACAAATAAAACGTACAAATTTATTTAGCATAAAAAGATACATTACACAAAGTTATTTAGCTAAAAATACATTTACTAATACACATTATACAATTTATCATTAATATTACATTAAATACATTAAAAAAATAAAATAAAATATAGCCCAGTGCTACAGTGTTACACTATTCATCTCTCCCATCTAGCGCGGATATCTGGTACAACATTGGAGGGTTGTTCTAAGCTATTTTAGCGCAAAAATACATATGTAAGACCATCTCAAGCCTTTATCTCTACTCTAGTGTAGAATTTACTCTACTCTAGAGCAGAGTTAACCAACAGTCAAAGTTCTTCTCCAATCGTTCGCGCTACATTTTACTCTACTTGAATATTTATATTTTATTTTAATTATTTTAAATTTTTTTTAATAACAAAAATATAATTTAATGAAATATATTATCTTGCACATAATTAGTTATTTAAATTATCACTATATGATTAAAAAATACAATTAAATATAAGATTATGTTATTTTTTAGAAGATTAATCAAGTATTTCCTACAACATCAAGAAAATTATAGTGATTCTCAATTGGTAATTAAAGTTATACAAGTGTTACTAACATTATATGTAGATTTCAAGATTATTCTTTTAGTAACAGTACATATAGATGTCAAGATTATTTTATTTAGCATTAATATTTACAATCAATAAGTTTAAAATAAATTAAAATTAAGTTATCAATTTTTAATAATATATAGATTTATATATAAAAATATTATAAAACAATATTGCATAAAAACATTATATATAAACAAAAAAAAGCAATATAGTGATTGAATTCTACACAAAAATTATATAATTGATAAAAAAAGAAAAAAAAATCATTGAGCGCAGATGAATAGTACTGCGCCACATCTGGCGCAGTACTGTAGATATATTTCATGTGACGCATAAATATAGCGCAGCGCTGGACAATCAGTTTTACACAACTCTGGCGTATTCAGGAAATGTAGCGCTGCGCTGGACATGTTCTAAGCGCAGGGTTGTGGATGGTTAGTATATTCCTTTCCTTTATTACAGTTTTTAACTTTTTATCAGACTGTGTCTATAATTTCATTTTTAACAATTTAATATATATTTTTACATCATTGATTCAATTGTTTAGACAATTTTATCATNTTAGTATTTTATATTTTGATATTTTATATTTTGGTAAGTCTTTTTTTTTCCGAAATGATAGAGATACTATATTAATAAAATCGCACGAAGTGCAAAGAGAATACAATCAAAGGCTGAATAGTACAACCAAAGACTGAAAAAACTGAGAGGCAAATCCGGAGATCGCCTAGAGCCTGCTAGCAACGCTAGAATGACCATCTCAGAACTACATGAATCACCTAACACAAAACTAAAACAAATACAAAGACCCCAACAGGGTAATATCCGAGTGTCGGATCCCAACAGGATAATAAGGTGACATTTGGGCTAACCGAGGCCAACGACCCAAACCTAAAACACAAAGATAAACATAAACACAAATACTAAAAACACTAAACAAGAATAACAAATAAACTAAAATAAACTAACAGTTCTTCCCCGGCAACCAAGCAGTCTTCACCAGCAGTGAACAATCGACACAAAAAGGAGTCACAACCCGAGAAACCGTTATCGAAACTGCGCAACCGCCTATACAATAGTCGAAACCGAACCCCGAACCATTCTCCAAATCGACCCACCTCCAACTGAGAAAAAATCGGCCAACCCCCATCAACCCCTCCCGAACCCGTCTAACACCACTAGTCGAGCCCAAGAAAACTAGGTCCCTGGATCCCCGCCGCCTAACACCCGAAAGGGGGGGTAGGTGACGCGGTTCCTCTTCCCCGTCCGCCGCAGCAGCCAGGACCTCTTCCCATCCTCAGACCACACACCACCGACACCACTGCAAACCTCGGCCAACAACCCGACCCCACCGGAAGTTCCGCCGGAAAACAGAACCTCCTGGAGGGGACGCCAATCGAAGCAAAAAACAGAGAGATAGAGGGCTTACCACCAGCCATCGAAGGTCCACCAGCGACCAGGAAGCGAGGCCACCCATCGCAGGCTGGAGTCTGATCAAGGGGGCGGCACCTCCAAGCTCTGTTCTGTCATCGATTGAGAGCCATACGGCGCCGATTCACAACAAATTCAAGGCGCACAAGTCCAGCACGGGATGACCGGTTAGGAGCGACCACAGGCCGAGCCCCACCGTCACCAAGGAAGGCAAATCGGCGGCAATAGACTGAGCGGCAGTGTAGGGTTAAGATTTCCTGTTTTAGTTGTGTCAAAACAATT